AGCAGCAGCAGCAGCAGCAGCAGCAGCAGCAGCAGCAGCAGCAGCAGCAGCAGCAGCAGCAGCAGCGGTGTGGCTGTGCGTGCAGGCAAGACCTGCAGCTGCGGGAAGAACTGGTGAAGGCCGTGGAGGCCCTCGGCTTCAGAGCTCCTTCCAAAATCCAAGCTGCTGCGCTGCCCCTCGTCCTCAGCCACCGCCAGAACCTCATCGCCCAGGTGCGCAAATGCATGCAAAATGCATGCATGCATGCATGCATGCATGCATGCATGCATGCATGCATGCATGCAAAACGCATGCAAACGCATGCAAACGCATGCAAAGTGCATGCATGCATGCGTGCTCAAGGGCGTGCATGCACAAGTGCCCTGCAGTAGCCAATGCTCGCTTGCATGCATTAGACCGTGCACGCATGCATGCATGCATGCATGCATTTAGGGCTTGTCTGCATGCATGCATGCATGCGGGGCTGCTGCTGCTGCTGCTGCTGCTGCTGCTGCTGCTGCTTGCAGGCCCAAAACGGCAGCGGCAAGACCGCCACATTTGCTCTGGCGATGCTCTCCTGCGCCGACGCGAACATTGCCGTGCCGCAGGTGCTGCTGCTGCTGCTGCTGCTGCTGCTGCTGCTGCTGCTTCGCAGCAAAAAAGGAGACAGCTTCCGAGTGTCTCCTTTTGCTGCTCAGGCCTTGTGTCTCTGCCCCACAAGAGAACTGGCGCAGCAAACTGTTTGGGTTTTGAAAGACCTGGCCAGGTTTACGCAGCTGCTCATCTTCTTGGCCGTCCCCCAGTCAAAGCCAGGTCTGCTGCTGCTGCTGCTGCTGCTGTTGCTGCTGCTGCTGCTGCTGCTGCTGCTGTGTTTGACGCGTTTGCTGCGGCTGCTGGTGTGTTTGTAGTCTTTGCTGCTGCTGCTGCGCTTGGCGCCTTTGCTGCGGCCGCTGCTGTCGTTGTGCCTGGTGCCTTTGCTGCTGCTGCTGTGCTTGATGCCTTTTGCTGCTGCTGCTGCTGTGCTTGATGCCTTTTGCTGCTGCTGCTGCTGTGCTTGATGCCTTCTGCTGCTGCTGCTGCTGCTGTGCTTGATGCCTTTTGCTGCTGCTGCTGCTGCTTCACGTGCTGTAGTTGCTGCCCGTGCTGCTGCTGCTGTCGTGGCTGCTTCTTGCCGCCGCTGTGACTGCTGCTTCGCCGCAGCTGCAGTTGCTGCTGCTGCTGCTGCTGCTGCTGCTGCTGCTTCGCAGCAGCAGCCGCTGTTTCCGGTGCTGCGCTGCTGCATGCGTGGGGCCGCGCATGCAGTGAGGTGTACAGACAGCTGGCTGCATGCGGCTGGGGTGTACGTACAGGTGCTTCGGACTTCTCCGATGTTCTTTCTTCCGAAGTTGGAGGACTTTTTGCATTAAATGAAGAAGGCCGTTCTGTGGTCTTCACTCCAAACTCTTCTCCCACTGTGCGGCAGCAGATCGTCGTCGGCACTCCAGGTGCTGCTGCTGCTGCTGCTGCTGCTGCTGCTGCTGCTGCTGCTGGTTTTGCTGCTGCGCGGGGGGAGGGCGTCTCTTTTGAGTCGCTTGGAGCAGCTGCAGCAGCAGCAGCTGCTGCAGCAGCAGCTGCTGCTGCAGAGGCGTCCGACCCGTCGCCCAGCCCGCTGCTGCTGCTGCTGCATGCAGGGGGCCATTGCTGCTGCTTGCATGCGCGGTTTGCTGCTGCTGCTGCTGCTGCTGCTGCTGCTGTTTGCTGCTGCAGGTAAAACGATGGAGCTGCTGAAGAAGCGCCGCTTCGGAGGTGACCTTGTCCGAATGTTTGTCTTGGACGAGGCCGACGAGCTCATCAACTTCGCCAACAACATGGCCCCACAGGCGAGCCTGCTGCTGCTGCTGCTGCTGCTGCTGCTGCTGCTGCTGCTGCTGCTGCGCTGGTGGCAGTCTGGGTGCTGCTGCTGTTGTTTGCGTCGCGGCCCTGGCGCTGCTGCTTTTGCTGCTGCTGCTGTTGACGGCCTTGTTGCTGCTGCCGCCGCTGCTGCTGCAGCAGCCTGGAGCGTGCCAGCAGCAGATCTCCACCACCATCAGCAGCAGCAGCAGCAGCAGCAGCAGCAGCAGCTTGTTGTGGCTATGTTTGCTGCTGCAGGTGCAGCAAATTCGCCGCTTTTTGCCGCGAGATCTCCAAATACTTCTTTTCTCTGCAACTTATTCTGACCCTGTCCGAAACTTCGCCGAAAAACTAATACCGAGGGCCAACAAGATCACGGTGTGCTGCTGCTGCTGCTGCTGCTGCTGCTGCTGCTGTCGCTGCTGCTGCTGTCGCTGCTGCCGCTGCTGCTGCTGAAGACACTGAGGCAGAGACTCTTTCGCGGGCTGCAGCTGCAGCAGCAGGCTTTCTTTCTGCGGTGCTTCTCTGCTGCTGCTGCTTGCTGCTGCCGCGGCTGCTGCTGCTGCTGCTGCTGAGCAGCAGCAGCAGCAGCTCATGAGTCTGTCCGTTTGTCTCTCGAAGGCCCTTTGCGCAACTGGTCCCCAGTTGCGCAGCAGCAGCAGCAGCAGCAGCAGCAGCGGCGCATGCATGCGCAGCTGCATGCAGGGCGTGTGGGGTGTGGGGTGTACGTACAGCTCAAAAGAGAAGAACTCACCCTCTCCTGCATCCAACAGTTCTACATGGTAGCCGATCCCCGGGATCCGATCCCAGAGGTCTCCAGCGTCTCCATTCCTGGAGTCGATCCCCTGGAGTTGGAGGCCCCCACATACTTGACGCTGCCTCCGCACCTGCAGCGGCGGGGCCCCCGGGGGGCCCCCGGGGGGGCCCCCACAGCGATCGAGAGCTCGTGTTGAGGATTTTTCAACACAAATATGCTCATTTAAAAACCCTTTATAGTGCTTTAGCTGTGGGGCAAAGTGTTATATTTGTTAATAGTCGTCGACTTGCTTTTTTCTTGGCTCTCAAGCTGCAAAAGGAGCTGGCCTTTTCAGTTTCCCTCATTTGCGGTGAGCCTGCAGCGGCTCCCTAGCCAGCAGCAGCAGCAGCAGCAGCTGCTGCTGCTGCTGCTGCTGCTGCTGTTGCTGCAGTCGCTGCAGCAGCCTCTGGCTCGCTGTCTCTGGCCTTTTGCTGCTGTCTCTTTGTCTCTTTTTGTCTCCTTTTGTCTCTGTCTTTTGTTTCTGTCTCCTTTTCCGTTTTTCGTCTTTTTATTTCTTCTTTTCTTTTTTCTTTTTGTCTTTTTTGTCTCCGCCTCTTTGCAGCTCCTTTTCTCTTCTTTTTGTCTCTCTTTTTGTCTTATTTTTCTTTTTCTTTTTATTGCTTTCTGTGTCTTTGTTTTGTCTCTTTTTTATTTCTTTTTGTTTCTTTTTATTTCTTTTTGTTTCTTTATTTCTTTTTGTCTCTTATTGTCCCTTTTTGTTTTTGTCTTTTCGCCTCTGTCTCAGTTTGAATTGTCCCTTAATATCTTTTTTGTTTGAATTTCTCGCCTCTTTGTCTCTACCTCCACTCTGAGGCGCCCCCTGCTGCTGCTGCTGCTGCTGCTGCTGCTGCTGCTGCTGCTGCAGGCTCTCAGGCGCAGGGCCCGGAGAAGCTCTCGATAGAAATAAGAGACAAAATAATGCGGGAGTTCCGACAAGGAGAAACAAAAGTTTTGATTTGTACTGACGTTTTGTCTCGTGGGATCGACGTTCCCCAGGTGACCCTCGTTGTCAACTTCGACTTGCCCATTTACTACACGGCCAGGGGCCCCCGGGGGCCCCTGGGGGCCCCCCTGGGGGGCCCCCTGGGGGGCCCCCTGGGGGGCCCCCCCCCGGGCTTCGGGGGCCTCCACGGCGCCGGGCCTCCGGGCTTTGCAGGGGTGGAGGGCTCCTGGGAGGCGGGGGGCCCGGAGCAGGGGGGGCCCCCAGACCTGGGGGGCCCCCCGGGGGCCCCCGGGGGCCCCGGGGGCCCCGGGGGCCCCGGGGGCCCCGGGGGCCCCGGGGGCCCCGAAGGGGTCTGCGTGAACTTTGAAACTTACCTGCACCGCATAGGGAGGACTGGGAGGTTCGGTCTTCGGGGAATTGCAGTGAATTTGGTTTGTCCTGAGGAGTTTTTCTTGTTGGATCAAATTAGGACTTTTTATAATTGCCAAATTAATCCTTTAAGTCCCGACACAGAAGCAATAGAGGCCATCATTCGCAAACTCCGCGTCGAAGGCTCAGGGGGGCCCCCCAAGGGCCCCTGAGGCTTCGGGGAGACAAAGGGACAAAAGGGGACAAAAAAAGGACCCAAAGGGACCAAAGGAGGCCACAAGGACCCAAAGGAGGCACTGGGGGGCCCCCCCGGGGGCCCCAGGGGCCCCTCGGCTGCGCCAAAGGGGGGCCCCCAGGGGGCCTCTTGGGGGCCCCCCGGGGCACTGTGGGGAGAACTCAAAGGAGACACTTTGGGGGACACCTAAGGGAGGGCCCACCAAGGGAGTCAAGGGGCTTCTGACCCTCGGGGGGCCCCCCAGGGGACAGTGGAAGGGGGGCCCCTCAGGGGCCCCTCAGGGGCCCCTCAGGGGCTCCGCGGGGGCCCCTCTGGGGACATTAAAGGGGGCCCTAGAGGGGACCCTGAAGTGTGGGGGCCCCCTAAGGGGACCTTAAAGGGCAGTCCGGGGGGCCCCTGCCAGCAGTGTTTTTGCTGCTGAGGCTTTGGGGGGGCCCCTCCCAGGGGCCCCCCTGAGGGCTAGGGGCCCCAAATGCCTTGGAAGCGGTTTGGGGGCCCCCAGAGGCCCCTAAGTAGTCCCATGGGGACTTCAAAGGGACCCTTTTGGCCACAGGGGCCCCTAGATAGTTCCTGTGGGGGGCCCCTGGGCAGTCTCCGGGGCCCCGGGGGCCCCGGGGGCCCCTGGGGGGCCCCCAGGGGCCCTCGGGGTCACGTGGGCAAAGACATAATTGTTAATATGTTATGTTAGGGAAAAGGAGACACTTCTAGAAACCCTAGAAGGCATTTAGACAAAGGGCCTAAACCCTAAACCCTAAACCCTAAACCCTAGGAACCCCGGCGTCTTTTGGTTGCTGGGGCCTCAGCAGCAAACCCTAACGAACACACCCAACGCTACAGCCCTGCAATTAGCCTAAACCCTAAACCCTAAACCCTCGAAATCTCCAAACCCTAATTCTCAGCTCTATATCTCTAAACCTGAGCCTTCAAGTTTGTATCGCTAAACCCTAAACCTGAGAGGCCCATCGCCCCAAACCCTAATCGTCAAACCCTAAACCCTCAACTCTGTATCGCTAAACCCTAAACCCTAGAGATTCAGAGCAAACGCTCCTTGAAGGAAGGTCTGAATCCCAAACCCTAAACCCTAAACCCTAGACCCCAAAAGAGGGCCCTTAGCAGCAAATGCGCCACTTGTTTCCTTCTAGGGTTTAGGGTTTAGTGCTAGGGTTAAACCCTAAACCCTAAACCCTAAACCCTGTCCAGACCCCAGCAGGCCGCAAGCCTTCTACAGCCTGCGTCTCCCCTAGGGTTTAGGACTGCTAGGGTTCAGGGCCTCTAGGGTTTAGGGTTTAGGGTTTAGGGTTTAGGGTTTAGGGTGGCTAGCTGTGCTGCTGCACGAAGCAGAGGTGGTGGGGGGCCTTTGCTTCTGCTTCTTCTGCATCTTCCTGCTTTTTTGTCTCTTCTTTTTTTGTCTCTTTTGTCTCCTTTTCTTTTGTCTCTGCAGCATTAAAATAGACAAAACAAAAAGTAAAAGCCTTCTCTTTTTGTCCCTTTTAGGGTTTAGGGTTTAGGGTTTAGGGTTTAGGGTTTAGGGTTTAGGGTTTAGGTGCAGTCTCCGCAGCATTAAATAAGAGCAACAAACGCATGCAGCCCCACAGGGACCCACAAAACCCCCAAAAAGGGTTTACTGTGCCCCTGGGGGCCCCCAAGGCCTTTGAGGGCCCCTCAGTGGCCTTCAGGGGCCCCCAAGGCCCTCACAGATCCAGAAGGGGCCCTTGGGGGCCCCCAATGTGAAGTCCTGGGGGCCCCCAAGGCCTTAGGGGGCCCCTAGGGGTTTCAAGGGGGCCCCCGAGACCTATTGGTACCCTTTTGGGGCCCCAGCGCAATTGGGGGGCCCCTCGGGGGCCTCCAATTGTCTCTATAAAATCCCATGTGGGGCCCCTGTGGGGCCCCTAAAGGGGCCCCTGTGGGGCCCCTAAAGGGGTCCCTGTGGGGCCCCTGTGGGGCCCATGTGGGGCCCCTAAAGGGGCCCCTGTGGGGCCCCTAAAGAGCCCTTGAGGCAGCAAGCGCACCTGCAGAGTTCTGCTGCTGCTGCTGCTGCTGCAGCTTCCAGCCGTGTCTCTCTGCAGCCTCCACCGCTAGATGCCGAAATCTGCGCAGTGCAGCAGCAGCAGCAGCAGCAGCAGCAGCAGCTGGTGCAGCAGTAGCAGTAGCAGCAGCAACGCTGGCAGCAGCAGCAGCAGCAGTAGCAGGTACAAGAGAACCAGCACAGGCAGCAGCAAGAGCAGCAATAGTAGCCGCAGCAGCAGCAGCAGCAGCAGGCGTTGCTAGAGCAGCAGGAGCATTAGCTGCTGCAGCAGCAGCTCCTGCAGCAGCAGCAGCTGCAGCAGCAGCTGCTGCAGCAGCTGGCAGCAACAGCAACGCATGCAGCAGCTGCACTTGCTTGCAAACCTAATAAAGCCGAGGCTTTCCAATTATATTTGTCTCTTTGATTAATTTAATTTATTTATTTTATTTTTATTTTTAAAAATCTTTTTTAATTTAATTGAAGCAGAAAGAGACATAAAGGGAGACCCACTTTTGCTTCGCCTTGCTGGGAATGTGCCCCAAAAACCTGCAAGCGCAAAACCCTAAACCCTAAACCCTAAACCCTAAACCCTAAACCCTAAACCCTAAACCCTGAACCCTAAAGCCCAAACCCGAAGCGCTAAACTCTAAACGCTACACCCTAAACCATAAAGCCCAAACCCCAACCGCCAAACCCTAAACCCTAAACCCTAAACCCTAAACCCTAAACGCCAAACCCTAAACCCTAAACCCTCAGGTGATGCAGCAAAGGGTTGCCAATCCCAGCCTTACTTCAAAGTCTCCACAACAACAACCCCACCATTCTTCATCACCCGACTAAGGGGAAAAGGGTCCCCAGGGGCATCCTGGGGGCCCCCCTGGGGGGCCCCCCGAGGGGCCCCAGGGGCCCCAGGGGCCCCCTGCGTTGACTCCTGTGGGGCCCCAGAGGCTCCCTGTGGGGCCCCACTTGCTGCGGTTTGCTGCTGCTGCTGCTGCTGCTGCTGCTGCTGAGCGTCGGCTGG